TTAACTTACCCAGTGCTGCTACCACACATTGTTCACTAACCCACTGCTGCTGCCACACGTTGTTTACTAACCCACTGCTGCTGCCACACGTTGTTAACTTACCCAGTGCTGCTGCCACACGTTGTTTACTATGTGAGAGGGATAATATGTTCTTTTAAGAAAGTTTACCAAGGTAATCAAACTTTTCTGTGGAATAAAACATGTTAGATACAAAATTAGAGGAATATTTTCAACATTTCAAAACATGCCTGGAGGAGCAAATTTTGGAATTTGATCTGACTACACAGTATGCTTTCTTTTGCATGACTATCATCTCTTTTTGCCATTAATAAATTGGTAATGTTGCAAATTACCCATGAAAAGATGTTGGACTTGCAGATCAAAATTCATCTGCAACAGAACCAGAGATATTACTTTTTTTTCTTACATTTATTCCATCTATTCTTCTTCCTGGTCAAAACTTGTTGCCTACATTATCCACAGTACATTCGCTAACTGATTTGGGCATGAAGTCCTATAGCCTGGAGCCGAGATGTGTTGTGTCATAGCATGAGTTAGTTATGTTATGTTAGTTATGTATAAAGTAACTTGACAATTATGTTGGAATGTTCTAATCTCATTATTCTCAGGGGATTGCTTTTATTCTGGTTAGGGTGACATATATTTGACATGACATTCATTTATAGATGAGATGGTAAAAAACCGAAGCCAGCAGTCAGTAGTTTGTGTGGTCTTCAGCCCCACAGCTAATGAATATCTAATGTGCAGTTACTATGGCCAATATGACCTCTTCATGCTGCTTTCACACTGTCATGTGTAAACATAGTGTGAGACTCAACTACATGAGAAAGGCTCTATAGCCAAGTACTTTCTAAATTTAAAATCAAAGTAATCATTCTTTCTATTATATTTGAGTATTATGTAATTATATGTCCATCTGTCCATTATATAACACTCATCCTTTGAGGGTCATAGGGGGTCATGGGAGGTCATTGGCCTGTGTATTCAAGGGCCAACAGAAAAACAACCATTCTTGTCCACATTCAAATGTATGTTAAATTCAGAGTCTATAGTTAGGCAACAGTATTAACCACTGCACCATACAGCTGCCAAACCATTGTACCATTATATGATGTTACCTCAGGTGGATAAATAGTAACTTAAGAAAGGCTTTCTGTGATTTAATTTTTAATTTATGTTACCTTTCAATTTTCACAGTATGATTAAATGAAAACATGTTTTAAGATATTTCTTTAGTGAAATACCTCATTTATTAAAGTATTCTGACCTTTAAATCAGTTCTGCATAAGCTTCTTTGGCAGCAGTTACAACGTCTTCTTGGGTAAATCTCTTTCATCCTAATAATCCTCTATATATTGTTTGATATAACTTATTAAATGTTACATTTTATCTACTGACTCTAAACAATCTAATGGTTTTGAATTAACCGATAATGCAAATTTGTACAGTGACTTACTTTGACCATAGATTGCAGTGGAGTTGCACATTTCTCAAGTTGTTGCACAGTGTATGACTTTATGATTTAGTTGCAGTTTCTTAAAGGTTTGACAGCCGTGTGGCTAAACTTGTGAAAATGTACTTATGATTCTCACACTTGATGAATTTAAACAACAGTAAACAGAACCATTGGTCAACTCATTTTAAATTCAGAGGAAAAAACACATTCATTTTGGGCGAGGATTTGGCAGTGAGGCAATTGGTTTTAATGGAATGGAATGTTTTTGATTGATGAGAGTTTAAAGGAAATCAAGATAAAAAACTAATCTCTGCGCCTGAATACGACATATATGGATGTTATCCATGAAAAAACTCATCTGAATTCCCTGCTCTATAAATTAGCCACATTTCTATCTCCACCCACCCGTCAGCCTCTCGCCTGCAGCTCCGACTCTGCTCAGCAAACACACAAACCTCTGGTTTTCTGATTTGCTAGCTACTGTACACTTCACAACGGCAAGTGCTTATAAGCTATAGGAGTAATTTAGACATGTTGGAACTGGAAAATGACTCCAAAGTCAAAGAAGAGTGAATTGTACAAGATCGCCTTCAAGTTAATGTATCAGAACATTAATGTATATTATGTATCACTCTTTACAACATTAGAAGCATGACTATGAAAGAAAACACGAACCATCTTCTTGACCACAAGCGCCGATTCTGTGCGTGTTCCACAGCTCGAGGACTCACAGAGAATGCAAAGTACCCACATGCCCCGGGCACGAGGGGCCAGCATACAGTGTGAGCTAAATTTAAATTGATTTGATATGTAGGTTGGTGCTAGATTGGACAAACGGGGGCCAACTCATCCGTGATTGGTTATTTCTCTGTCAGTCACCTGCTCCAAACCTCCACTAATCAGAGCATTGCTCCAGATGATCCAACAGTCCTGATATTTAGTAGCTATGTGAGTCAATGTGTTGATGGACGAACGACTATAGTTTACTGCTTGTATGCTTTCTTTGTTTGTGTAACAATGTTATCATGTTTGGCATGTTAGTGTGGCCTGTAGTGGTGTCTCACTGACATGGTGTCAGATTTGAGTTGGATTGTGCACCTATATGATTCATGTTCATTTGAGCCTTTTCACTGAATAATCAGCTTTTTGTGTTTTGTCAGTTAAAACTTTTTATCTCCTTCATCACCATGTTGAATCCCTTTTTCCAAATCCTTTTGGCAACAGTTCATGTAGACTATGTTTTCAACATTAGGTTTATTTCGGACATGGTTGTCAGGCACTCATCTGTTTAGATTTACCCACAGGCAGTAACAGAGCCAATGGTCTTGACTAAACAATGTTACAAATATGTTAGTCGTGATCACCAACCCTGACGGACTGAGCATGTCAAATAGAGAGTATAAACTACACTGCTCCTCCTCTGATACCAATCGCACTGCTGTTTTTGAGATTCTCATTGGCTCCCTGCAGTTCCATGATACATCTTGCATCACATCAAACATCATAATGACATGTTAATGAGGTTAAGTCATATTACTATAACCAGGTCCTATAGGTAATAGCAATGTTTTTCTTGAGGTTTATTATCCCTTGTGTGTGTGTGTGTGTGTGTGTGTGTGTGTGTGTGTGTGTGTGTGTGTGTGTGTTTGCGACTGTAGAGGGAAAGGGGGAGTCTGTGAGGGGGTGTATTCACATTTCTGCAATATCAAAACTGTGCACTTGCTGTCATTTACAGAGAGAGAGACTGCAGGGGGCACAGCAAGAGAGAGAGAGAGCGAGCGAGAGAGAGAGAGAGAAAGAGAGAGAGCGCTAACATAGAGGGACAAGAGGAAGAGATATCCAGAGAGTGAGTGAAAGAGAGAGCCACAGGATCCAAATCCACAGTCGGTGCTGGCGGTGTGTGCAGTGTTGCACGATGTTTACGCAGGCTCTCGTCGTGCAAGAGTTTCTTTCATGTTTTTTCTCTTCTGATTTATTTTTTTCTCTTTTAAATTATCAGTGAAGCATGTCACAGGCTCTACTCCTCTCTCTGTTCATTTCTTCTGGATTCCTACATTTGCAGAGGATTCATCATCATATCAGGGACACTCGATGGGAGGATTGCATCTCTTGTTTTGCATCAGATTGCACAGCAGAGCAGATAACATTACAGTATAAAGCGGAGGTGAAGTGCTGACTGAAGACAGAGCTGCTCGTTGTCTATATTTGGCTGCTGTGTTTGGCACTGTGAGCTCGACTGTCGGCTTTGCTGTGCCTTAAACGCTGAGAGGAGCTGAAGAGAGGAGAGGCTTTCCCCATCAGGTGAATCACAGTTCGCCCCTGAATTCATTTCACTTATCAGAGGGGAGGAAGGAGGGAGGAAGGAGTGAGGGGGGCATTCAGATGTGAGACTAATCCAAAACAGGAGCAGGATCTAGATCTGCTGGTTGATGCGTCTTCGTTTTTTAATATAATTCCATTTCATCCATTTTACATCACGGATAGAAGAGGAAACAAGGGAGATCAAAAGGAGCAGGAACACCAGGGTGACACTGCTGTGTGGGGAGGGGGAGGAGAGGAAGGGAAGGGGTTGGAAGGGGCCCCGTGGTTGGGAGACAAAAATGCTGCCTTCACAGGAAGCCTCCAAAATCTACCATGACAACTACATGCGCAACTCCAGGAGCATCGGTGTCCTGTGGGCCATATTCACCATTTGCTTGGCCATCATCAACGTGGTGGTCTTCATCCAGCCCTACTGGATTGGTGACAGTGTCAACACCCCCCAGGCTGGCTACTTTGGCTTGTTCCACTACTGCGTGGGCAATGGGAAAGCCAACAGGGAGATCTTGTGCCAGGGCAGCTTCTCTGACTTCAGCTCCATCCCGTCGGGAGCCTTCAAGGTGGCCTCCGTCTTTGTGCTGATGTCCATGGTGCTCATCCTCAGCTGCATCGGCTGCTTCACCCTCTTCTTCTTCTGCAACACCGCCCTGGTCTACAAGACGTGTGCCTGGACGCAGCTGCTATGTGGTAAGGGTGGGAGACACTTGATGTGTGTTTGGGGGCCAAGGGGTGGGCAATGGAGGGGGTCTGCCAACACTTTTTTGACGAAGAGGATCAATAAGCCCACATCACCTCATTACGTGTTAGGTTACACTTTATCTCTGTCAGAAATTTCATCACGGTTGTGATCCTCCGAAGATTAAGCACAGCAGGAGAATATTACTCCATCTGTGCGCAGACACCCTCCCTCTCTGCCTGTTTCTGTGCACGGCTGCTCACCTTAGCTCTGAAGATAGCTGAAACATGAACGTGAAAAGATCTGAAAAGTTCCCCAAAGGTCTATCTGGAGTCATGTGATGCACTGGAGACCGTCTCTTGAGAGCTTGGTGTCCTGCATATTTTTATCAAACTGAAAAAAGAATATCTGCGTCATCAGTCATTACTCCACTGTGTTGCTTCGCATTTCGCCAACAAAAAGAGGCCTTAAAGCGTTATTTATCATTCTGACACTGCCTGTTCTTTTTCATCCGGCTGCTTGAAATAATGTGTGTAATTGTATGGAATTATGATAATGAAATGCCTTCAGCAGTGTTGCATCAACGATCACAGCCTCTATTTTGGTTGCCAGACCTTCCTTCCAGATTAGCCTACATTATGCATGATCTGGTACATGCATTGCTGTAATTTATCCCCATGAAGTGCATCCATTCATCTGTGCAAAACCTGGAACAACACCATGTAAAGGCTTTGAATTATGTAATTACATTAGGAGGTGTGAGGGATACGTTGGAGAGGAGACTCAGTTTCCATCAGTGTCAGATTACATTTTTCATATTGAATCAACGCAAAGATTTTGTGTTCATTTTTTCTGACTTTAGGTTCGTTCTAGAGTTCTATGCTTCCTTCATAAAAACGCTTAATTATATACTATGTGTGTGTGTGTGTGTGTGTGTGTGCGTGTGTGTATGTGCCTGTGTGTGTGTTTGTGTGTGTGTGTGTGTGTGTGGTTGGTACTCCTCCATCATTTAGTGTTGAACAGATTGCTGTATTGGTTCAGGTGGAGCCCACAAGTGTCTCAGCTCAGCGGACATCACAGAATCCCCTGGCACACTCGCGATCACACAAACTACTAATGAAATGGATGCAGATGAAACTGATTCCACACGTTCTTATAAAGGTGCTGAGAGACTTGGCAGGTGTGAGATGGGTTTGATTTGGCTTTTGTCGATTTTTGTTCTCTCTGTGCTTAGCATGAGTTCACTTCCTCTGTGATGGGATACACTATGATGGTGTATGTGCAGGGAGGGGGTGGAGGGTGGGATGTTAATTGTGCATTGGTGTGGAAGATTTGACATTATCTAAGAGGACGTGTTGGAGGCCAGATTATTCTTTCCAATAAGGCAGCTGAGTGTGGATGGTGGTGGATTCAGGTCCTTTGGAAATCATTGACTTCAGTGTCTCTCGCAGAGATATCAACGCAAAGAGAGACACGGGCAGACAAAGAAATAAAGAGATGAAGGAGAGAGAAGGGTAGAAAAAACAATTGCCAAAATGCAATGATGGCTTAAATATGAACATTTGATCTAACAGTGATAGCACAGTCCTAATTCACAATATTCACCACAACATTGCAGCTGAATATTAAGCTCATACTGCACTGATGTCTCCACATGTACAAGCCTCTATTCTGGTTCTATAAATAGAAGAGCTATGTGGCATTTATAGGTCCTTACCCCCTTCCCCCATTTGGTATCTCCCACTCACAGGGTCCCCCAGTCGTTCCCAGACTCCTTTCTTCTCCATTTCTTCTTCTTCCTCCATTCACAAGCATATTTTCTTCAATTTCTCGGACTCTCTGCCGAGCCTGCTGGTGTTTCTTAGACTCATCCGAGTAACAGCCGTTGCTTCAGAGGTGTGAAACTGACAAAACATTAATGGTGAATTAGTTTCAACACTTCTGTGAAAACACAAATTCTGAACAAATGCTGTCCCATCTGATCATGATTTCTGCTGTGGGAAAAAAACATGGCTGTTTCTGCATAAGACATACGCTCGAATCCTCAAATACTTAACGCGAGCAAAACAACATGGTTTGTCTCTTATCTATTATGTGAACGTAACTCAGGGAAACATAATCTTACTGTATGACAGGATTCTGTGTTCCAGAAAGTTTCCCTTCATGCTCTGATGATTCAAAAGTAAGAAAACATACTGTTTTACTTATTGTTTTTTATTTTACCTTCAGCTGACAAGTTTGTGACTATTGTAAATGCTGGCATGAGCTCAGCTCTGAGCTCAGTGATCTATATGGTGGTTTGCTAGGTCAGTACAAATTAGTGCAGTGCACACAAGTTCTCTGGAAAACCCACTGTCAGCTTTAAAAGGTGCAAGAAAATCCACAATGGGGCAGTTTTATGTCCCCCAACATATTCTTCAGGTCTGGGGAATAAAAAACAGGGAGGTTCAACAGGAAAAGAGACGAGCAAAGTCTAGAAACTCATGAGAACATGAACACCAAAAGGACGAAGAGATGAACTAATGGAGCAGCGGCGATGACAGGGAAAATTTGAAGATGCTAAAGCCAGTGAATACACCTCTGAGTCCATTTATGTGTTCCCCAAAATAATGAAACCACGTCTGCAAAACATCTCAAGCACTGAAAATGTATGACAAAGAGAATGGATTTATAAGGAAGCTCCAACTGAGGGGAAAAAAGATGCCCAATTGACCACCATTTGGGGGAGGGGGGGTATAGTACAGATTACTATCAGGCAATCACAAGTGGAATTGTTGGGAAGACATGTTGGGGTCAGCTTGGTTATGGTTGACACTGATTTCGTTTCTGCCTGCTGGGAGGACAGCTTGTCCATGAGCTTGGCATAGGGACTGGAGGTGAGAGGAGGGAACCAGCCTCAACCTTTAGGTTTGGTATGGTGGGTCATTACAGTAGCTTTCTATGGACATGTAGCTTTGCCTACATCCATTACAGACACTTTCTTTCAGGAATCAGGTGGTTTACAAACAGCCACTGCTGATAAGCTGTATTTTCTATCTCTGCACGTTAAATACAGAAGATGTGATGTACAGGTGTGGCAGCTTAAAGGTCCAGTGTGTAAGATTTAGGTGAAAGGGAAGTATTGGCAGAAATTTAATGTAGAATAATCCTCATGATGTTTCACTATCTCATTTCATCTAAATTGTACACATTGTAGTTTTCTTTACCCCAGAAAAGGTCCTTTATATTTAAATACTTTATATTTACATCGAGGGGACCCTCTCTACGGAGGCCGCCATGTTTTTTACATTA